AGAGCGGCTGCGTGATGGCCGTCTGCGACAGCTCCCACTTCCTGACCTCAAGTTCAGCTCTTCCCCAGGTTCTCTGCAGATCCCGGAATGGTATGTGCTGCATGTACCACATACCAACAAGAACCGGCTCGACTTGCCAAGCTTGCCTCGATCTGGACAGTTAGATTGGAGACGAATATCGTGAGGCCAAGCATTGCGTCTGCATGGGATGGCGTCTTGAGGAGGCCGGGTGACTTCGCTGACCAGTCGAACAGCCCACCGCCAGGCCGAGGCAACGGCACAGCACCTTTGGCTACGGCTTTGATCTGCCCACCCAGGCTAGTCAGCTAGTCGAAATCGGGACGTCGCGGAAGCGTCGCGGAAGCCCGTATGAGAAAGTACACCTCAGGCCGGAGAGTTGCAGGCCAGGGGCGACACGGCGGCATTGGTGCTGCGAAGCGCCGTATCCTTCGCATCTCCTGAATGCACAAAACACACGTCGCCGAAGAACCCTTGAAAGCAACGGCAACCCATCACGCCTAGCTAGCTTGCAAGAACCCTTTGGTCGTCCAAAACCTGCCATGGTTTTTCCTCGCCAGACTCACCTGGTTGCACCACCAAAACCTAGCTGAACTCAATCCAAATCCACTCCTAGCGAGGCTGGCCACAGCAGCAGCGATCGGGTCCAGATCCCTGCCGCACCAGTGGAAGCCAGCCTGAAATACTCATGAGCCATGTAAAACATCTACTAACTTGGCACCTACTGGGCTCTTCTACGCAAGTACCAGTAGCAGTGTTGGCGATGCCTCTCGAATTCACTTCGATATCCTGTCAACTGAAAGTTCAACCGCAACTCGTTCATAACGGTTGCATGATTGGCAAACAGATCTTCATTCCTGCTGCCTCCACCGTCAGTGGCAACGGAACATCAAAGCCAAGCTCCTTTTTGTCGCAGATTGGATTCGCACGAACAGCGACGACAACCCTGCTAGAGAACAGCTTCGACTCTCTTGATGGAATGACAATGGAACTCTCATGAGATCTTCATGTCACGTGCTTTCTGCCACGGTAGCTGAAGCTCCAGCGCAACTCGCCAGAGTCCAGACAGTCTTCATGATAGACAGGTAGTTTTAGATGCGTAGACTGGCAAGTAAATGAAAGAAACAGCACGCAAGTAGACAGGCAGGCAGATGAGGATGTGGGTATATCTTTTATCTTCAGAACAAGCATTTGTCGCACGACGACTCTCTCTCTCCATGTTGCTGGGATTCCACTCGAGAATTACAAAGATATTGTAAAGTACATACTTCAAGTGCGGCAGGCTCTCGAAACAAGGCGAAATGGAGCTAGCTTCTCAAATGTGCCCTCCAATGCTGCCGTGCTCGACTGACCTTCGATACTACATGATCTTATCACAAGGTCCTTGGGAAACAACCCTGAAACCTGCATCTTCGACTGTCCTGACACCCAAAGCGTGAACTGTCTATCCACACTTCAAACTGATACCTCAAGCTTGTAGCAGTCACTGTTCCTGCCCACCCTGCTTGAAACTAATTAAGACAATTCTCAGGAAAAAACAATCTGAACAGTCTCAGCAGCAGTGCCAGCCGCGCAAGCTCGGCAACCTCGCGCAAAGCGGGGCAAGCAGAGCGTAAGGGTCGTGTCGAGAGGCCTCAAGCTGTGAAGAGTGGAAAGGCGAGAGAGTTCCACATAACCGGCTGTGGCTTGGTTGCAAGTTGAAAGCAATACAAGCATAGGACCAGGACCAAGACAGAACTCAGCTGAAGCAACTCCAGCAATTCCATGGCTCGCATCAACCCGCAAACCAAACCGGTAAGCCGCCCCGGCTGCCACCAGAACGCCTAAGGAAGACACGCAACAAAGCTCCCGCACCTCAAGCATTCGTCTCAGCGCCCAGCCCTGCAAGGACACCGCGGCCTAGCACCGAGTGGATGCACGGAGTGGGGGGCTTCGCTTCTTGAGACAGACGATTCCCTCTGCTCCCAGCTCAGTGATGTGCCATGAAAACTCGACTGTGCAGGGAGTCACGTCCACTCCACATGTCCGTGCCTTCCAAACTTTTTGGCTCGAAGCCAGGGCAGCTGCCAGCGACCTAAGCTTCACGAAACATTTTGACTGTTGGCTTGCATTCTGAGATGCTAGCTCAACTCGTTTAACAGAAATGCGACTGGGCGCGTTCTCTGGATATATGCAGTTCGGCTAGCCACTGTCACTGGCTGAAGCTCATCTCCACTGCCTTTCAGCCTTTCTCTTCGGCTGAAGAACAGATGTTCCAGAATTCAGAAAAGTCACACTTCCGTCACTCTCAAGGAAAGCAAACGGCCTGAAGCAGGGCTCGCAGTGAGCTGTGCTTTGTGCTTCTGGAAAAGCTACGCCTGGGGCTTGGGCAGGGTGACGCCTGGGGCTTCTGTAAAAACTGCGCTCCGGGCTTGAGTAGAGTGACACTTGGTGGCAATGACTGTTTGGTCGGGGCAGCCGCACATGCGAGCACACTCAAGAGCTCTTTCCCAACTGCAACCTTTGGTCGGACCCCACGCAAAAGAACAATCGCCACCGTCATTGACATGTACTTGTCCTGTGCCGCACCTTCACTCAAGAGGGAGAGGGCGCCAGCCCAGTCACCGGACTTCCTGCTGTGCATGCAAGCACAAAGCTTCATCGGATCCTGCATGGCCTACTCGTCACCATGTCGACTTCGATGCCTCGCGCTTAAGGCCATTGCTCCGCCAGTCTCATGCAGCATTGACAACAAGTAGGCCGTAGGCCCTACGACCCAAAAATGCTGCAAACTCGGTCCCAACCGCACTCTGCGCCGCACCGAAGCCAAACTCGTCGCGGCGGAGACCGCGCTTCGTGAGGAGGCCTTGTGCGCTGCGGGAATTCGGGACCGGGGTTCTGGGTTCCTTCAGAAGCTCGAACAACGGAGAGGCAAAAGGGGAACTCTGCAGCGTAAGCGCGCTGCCGAGAGCTTTCTGCCAGGCACCTCCGCGATCACAGGCGGCGATGCCTTTGTCGAACGACCATGATACAACTGAGCTCGGTCAGACGAGTGTTGACTTGAGAAACTGACATGCAAGCTGTTGTGGCGAGGACAAGCAACACGAACCAGCAGATTCAGCATGTCTAACTTCTGATTCAAGAACAGCAAGCGAAGCAAGCGGACACGGTGCCACCATGCACAGCAGACAACACGACGGAACAACGTCAAGAACAAGGCTGGGTAAAATGCTGTGCAACGGGTTTCTCGGCTGGGACTACGACAGGCAGGAGGCCTCACCCTGACAATCAGGAAGTCAACCCTGCCCAAGCTCACAACGTTGCACACTCGAGTTCTCAAGGCCCGGAGCAATGAAGTCACGAGATGCACCCAGCCCCACGGAACACTCCGTCCCTGAGATCTGGCCTGCATTGATCGGCGCCGTCTCGCTTGCACTCGGTGCAGCGAGCAGTCCCAGCGCCACTTCCTTCTGTGTTTAGCCCTCTGTGCAAGGATTTCGACGTGGTCCCCGAGCTCAGAACCCCGGACGAATCCAGTCAGTCTGCGCAAAATAAAATCCAAAATGGACAGGGGGTCCAGCGGTACTTTTGCTGTCAACGATGGGTAGATCAGTCCTTAGAAATTTGTGCTTTTGACATGGTATAATATAGCTCATGGACGGTGTACCGAGGCATGCATGACCCTCACCGTTGCACATATCTCATGTCGCGCTATCCACATCCGCGCAACCCCTGAATTTCAATGTTGCATCCCCATGGGGTCATGCAGGATTTGGGGCATTCGCGCAGGGCGCTTGTTTTAGCCCCGACGTCAGTGCAATGTTAAAATTTGAGGTAGCACGGGTGCCGTGGCGAGGTTGAAAGCGATGCAGGGTTTAGGGCATCAACCGTATTTCATCGGGATACAGAGTCAGATGATATTTGACACTGTCGGCATCCACGAAAACAGGAGGAGCGACCCAGAGCGCTCTGTCTGCAAGGCTGGAGAGCACTGTCGCAAGCGTGCCTGGGCTACCACGACGCGCTTTCATGGTGGGACCCCGGGGGATTGCTTTCGAGTCTTCAGCTTGGGCTTGGGGCTGAAGTTCAATCACCAACAAAAAGCGAAGTCGCCGCCGCCAAACCATGAGTCAGCTTTACTGCATTAGTCCCGAACAGCACTCGCTCTTGTATCCCAACCAACTCGCTCTTTGTTCCGGCTCTGTTAAGTTGAATTCAGGAGAGTACAAGGACTGGTGATTGCTTTCTGCGAAACGTGGTGCGGTACAAGTCTTGTGCAGCGTTTGTTGGTGCTCGTGTCTTCCAGTGTATGTCTTTCTTTCCCTTGCGAGCTCGTTAGATCGGTGTTCTTCTGCTTCTGGTTGCATCTTTGTGACTGTAGTGTTACTTTCTTCTTTCGATACTTGCAATATCTTGCAGTTTGAACTTGGTGCATGCTTTCTTTATGCTTTGCTTTCGGTCGTCACTTGTTCATTTCGTCTTCGTCGTCTTCGTTGCATCTTCCTACATTTCGTTCCTGACCGTGATTTCGTCCTTTCTTTGCCTGATCAGTTCTTTATGTAGTTCCTTCTTGCTTTCTTTCATTCATTATTTATGTCCTTCGTTCTTTCTTTCGCTGTTTATTGCTTGCTTTCGTTTGTTCCTTCCTAGTGGCTTTCGTTCTTTTGTTCTTTATGCTTGTGTTGCTTTATTCAATTCTCTCTTTCGGTAGTTCGTTAGCTCTTTCTGTCGTGATTTGTGGATATTCTTTCTTGGCTTTTCGAAATTCTGTCAATTCTTTCGTGGTTCCTTGCGTTATTTACATATTTCGCTATGTTTTACGTTCTGGTCTGGTTCGCGAAATGTTCACCTGTTTCGTTCTGTAGTCCCGTCTTTCTGTCTTTCTTTGGCTGTTTATCGCTTGTTCTCTCTTTGCTGGCTTTCTTTCCCTATGTCACAGTTTCTCTTGCAGCATTTGTTGAGCCTGAATTGCTTTTCCCAATCCTGATTAGAATCTTCAATGCTCATCTTTTGCAAGTAGTCGTGCCTTCCTTCTGTGTCATATCAACACACATCATCATAGGCAAAGCTCCCACTCCTCCCGCACTTACACTTGCTGTCTGGTTGCTGGAGTTTGGCCGCAGCTGATAAGCCTGCACAGGGGCCCCGAATTAAGGAACCACTCCTCCTGCCTTCGTCGTCTCTCCCTCACCCACGTGTTTCTAAGGTCCTTCTGCTCCTTAACTCCCTCAGCCGGCCGGGAAGGCGGCCAAGAGCACGGCAGCACGCCGCCAGCGCGGCAGCGCGACGCCGGCGTTCAAAGCGAGCGTGTCCAGGAGCATGCCTGGCTTCCAAGGACACGTTCTGACATGTCTCGGCAGACCGTCTTTGCTCTTCGAAGCTTTCTACAGCTAGAGGATACCTTGCCTATTTTAGGTGTATGGCACCGCACATAGACCCTCCCCCCCCCACACACACCAAAACCCCATGTTCCACTCGCTTTCCCCAACCACTTTCTCCAACAGCATACCACTTCCATCCCCCAGACCCCCGAATCACCAAAATATTTTCTCAACAAGCATACCATCAATTTTCCACCACCTTGTCAAACTTTTCAGACCTCTTTTTCGCATTGTCAACCAGCCTGCCACTTGCCCCCAAGCCTCCAAATCTTCAGCATGCCGTTTTTCAACGAGCACAACACCAGCCCTCGCCCACCAAAATCCCACCGTTTTCCACTTAAACACTCCACAAATTTGCCACCTTCTTCACCAGCCCTTTAAGAACTGCACTCCAGAAGCACTGTTCCACAACCTTTTCCATCAAAGACCGCCCACTTGCCCCCCCCGCATCACACCAGCCTGATCTCACCACCCGAAAATAGGCAAAGTCCACCTCATAGAAAATGCTACCCCCCACCCCCCCACTCTAGGATAAAAACTATCTCAAGATCTCAGCCCCAATACTAGGATAATCCACCCAAAGATCCCAACCTAAGTTACCATCCTAGCAATAATACTCACACCTATGAATCCAAGTGCCATAGCCCAAAAAAAGGCGAGGGGTTACTTGTAGAATTTGGTTCAGGGTTTAGGGTTAAGGGTTAAGGAAATGCTTTATCTTCTTGGATTCTCCAATAATGTTATAACTCTAATATAGTTATATATAAGTGCTTATGTGTTTTGATTACATTATAGTCTATAGTATTATTCTATACTAAGATCTAGCTTTTAGGGGGAAAAAGGTGGGATTTTGGTGGGCGGGGGCTGTTGTTGTGCTCGTTGAAAAACGGCATGCTGAAGATTTGGAGGCTTGGGGGCAAGTGGCTGGCTGGTTGACAATGCGAAAAAGAGGTCTGAAAAGTTTGACAAGGTGGTGGAAAATTGATGGTATGCTTGTTGAGAAAATATTTTGGTGATTCGGGGGTCTGGGGGATGGAAGTGGTATGCTGTTGGAGAAAGTGGTTGGGGAAAGCGAGTGGAACATGGGGTTTTGGTGTGTGTGGGGGGGGGAGGGTCTATGTGCGGTGCCATACACCTAAAATAGGCAAGGTATCCTCTAACTGATACTAGGTTACTAGGTGTGTCCGAGCTGGGGTAGCATGCAAGGATCCTTCATGGATCATCTTGACACGTCCAGCTCAGCAAGTCTCAAGTTAATGTTCGTGGCACAGCGGACTCACGGCACCTGATTGCCCCCACGTGCACGGCTGCACCTTGACTTCCCATCAGTGCTAGAAGGCTCCATGCTCGAGCCCAAGCCTGCGAGGGCCGGGTTGCTTCGTGTCTAGACCTGACAAAAACCCGCTGCAGAACGGAAGTGTGCTGGCACGGCCACGGATCTGCCTCTGGAACTGGAGTTGCTGTAATCGCAAGCCCGTTGAAGATGGTGCCGATACCTGATTATCGACATATTTCCGCTTCGATTGGCACTGCCTTCCAGAATCCAGAATGGACTGAGAGCTAAACCGCTTGCCACCTACTTCGTTGCGAGTTTCGACCTCTAGCTCTAGGTCGAATTCACCATCCGTAGCTTGCCCCCCCACTTTGATATCTCGATACGCAGCTGCTTCACATCCGGGATGCCAACGGCATCAAGGTCACCAACCCGGAAGGTCAGAGCATACGCCTGATGGCACATGTCTGAACATGCGAGCTTCGAACTGACACTTCCGGGGCCTGCCGCCAGTGCCCAGCACGAGCAGACCTGTAGAGTTCACCGGGCTTCGGACTGGAAGTCTCTGCTTCCTAGGGCTGCTTGGAACGCAGCAACGCGACTCGCGGTGAAACCAACAAAGGAATCTTTCTGAGCTGCGGCCAGCAGACGCGGTAGATGCAGCATTGCGGCCGTAGGAGTCCGGGCGCACCGAACGATCTGCGAAAAGATTGGAAGGCTGCAAAGACGGGCAAAATTGGACCAAATGCACATTGCAAGCTTCCTCCAACTGCAAACCTGCAAACCCTCGAGCAGAGGCCTCGCTGACTAAAAAGTATCGCCAGAGCATCAGCCTTGGGCTGCATTGAATAAACAAGCGCTTCGCCCCGAGGGGGAGGTCCTTGTTGCAGGAAGGATAGAGGGAGGAAGTCACGGTTGCCTGCATAATGGAGCCTTTCAGATTCTGCGATGTTGACCACTGTCCTTCCAATAGGCCTTGATGAAACATTCGCACTCTATGGTCTTCTCAGGACTGGAAAAAAGTGGCAATACTTGTATCATGCCGCAGCGTCAACGGCCATTCCAAACCAGCGTTCCAACCAACCCGCCGACTCTGCATGTTCGTTAAACCTCCCCTCCACTCCCTCCCATCCCCGTCCGCAAAAGCAGGAAAGCCGAAAGTGGCCTTCGCAAATTCCTACGGGCCAGAGCCTCGAAGCCTCAAAATCCCGGAACCATCAATCCACGAAAGGAGCCCCAAATCTCCAAAGCCAATCGCAGCTGCGCCGCCCAGAGCTCCACGGCTCCCGTTGCAGCATTGAGCCTAGCCGTTTCTTTTGGAAACTTTCAACGGTAACTGTGAACTGAGAGTTCGGGTTCTGGGCTTCGCAAAGCCCCACGAGAGCGGCGGCATAACCGTGCCCGAAGGTCCACCGCGCACTGATCCTAAACGCAGCGTCTGGCTCTCAGGGTATCATTCAAAAGGAAGAGGCCACGGAAGACGAGATAGACAGGGCCGTAGGCATGCCGTTGGTTCTCGCTACCGAGCACGGAATCTTTGCTTGCTGCGTGTGCAGTTCACACTAGCCCCCCCACCCTTTCCGCCTTGGCCTTTGAGCCTGCAAAGAGCAACCCGACATGAAGAAAAGAGAGCACGGAGAAATGACGACGACGCAAGCGACGGGTGCAGAGGCCTGATGCGGAGGGCTGCGAGCTCGCTATCTACGAAAGGACGTTGAAGTCTCAAGCAAGAACCCCGAGACCCTGCCCACACCGTTCCGCTGCAGACCCAGCTTGGCTTGCGGCTCTTCTCTTCCTGGTGAGGTCGTGGATGCGAGGACCTCGCGTGGCCTTGCGGCCACGGCTTCATATTTTGGATTCAGATTCTTCAGAGGACCACTCTTCCTTCGGGGTGTTCGGAGGGCAAACCCAGTTGCAACACGGTTTCAGTCTGAAGCCTGACCTCGATTCTACAAGTGATCCTCCCATCAAAGACACATCGTCACGAAACGAGACATCCAAGCGCTATAATTAACGCCCAGGTCGCTCCAAGACCCAAGCTGCCCTCCCAAATCCTCCCTTCCCTGCATATCGATTTTGCCTCCCGTGCAGTGCGCCAGCGTGCGCAGCGGGCAAAGGCACTGAGAGTGGCGCAGCGAGCTCCCGGCAGTGGCCTCGCAGAGGTCCATGCCCACGATTGCAACAGACTGAAAGACAGCCAGAGTAGGTCCTTCACAAAACCACGAGAACACCATGATTTTTTGGCTCGAAAGCTGCTCCGCGCCTCTCTCCCAGGCTGCTCCGCCCCAAATCCATGGCACTTACGGCTTCCTGCCAGAAGCTCCCGGCACCTGGACGTGTGTTAGGCCAGAAGCTCATGAGGTGTAGACCGTCTTCCCCTGAAAAAGTTGAAGCCAAATTTGGGGACTCACGCCGTGCAGGATGAGTCTTCAGGGGCATCAACAGACTATGCCTTAAGGGCTCAGAGCCCCGTCTTCTGCTCTGGTTTCAGCTGGACGAACGCAGCGCCAAAGAAGTTCTGGTCCGTCACCGCAGGCCGAGCAGCTCGCGCTGGCGACCACGGCACCGAAGCTGACGGGATCGGGCCTGCTTACCGGCGGCTGATCGAGGCCTAAACCAAAGCCCTGCACCGTCTTAAGCTTGGAAAACCGGAACATCCTGCAGGTTTCAGTGACTGGTAGTCAGGCTCCATGACCAATCCCCTGAAGACGCTCTGCGCCTGACCGTAGACTCCGTCATCTGGATCAGCCACTTGAAGGCCAAGCGCGGAGTGGGGGCCAGCCCTTTCAGGAAGCTGAGCGGCAAAGGCAGGATGACTAGATGACAAGACTCGACACATAAACATGCTCGCGGACGGAGAAGATCAGTCAGCATGGGTTGAAGGAGTTTCCGCAAAATCTCTGGTAGCTGAAGTACTGTAGTAGCAACAGTAGTGGTCATCTTCGTCGTCGAAGTCGTAGAGGGAGCTCTTTCTGATCCAGGGTTTGCGTCTGTTGAGGGGTGCATGGTTTGCAGCCCGACGCGATAAGCAAACTAGGCTTCGTACCCAGATCAAGCTCTAATGCAGCTAACCAACCGTGATCACAGCAAACTCCTCCACACCTGTGAGACATGTCACCTTACCACCGGGTCCGAGCGAATGCGTCCCTGACAGTGACTCGCGGCTGTCTTTCTTGCTCAGTCCACAAAACGGATGAGGAATCAGCCCGCCTAGAACCACATTCCAGGCTGCGAGTGACATCGCGGATGTGAGCAGAAGCAGTGCGGAGCACCAACGTTGTGGGCGACACGCAACGAGGAGCAACCTCGGAACCGTCAATATTGCTTGGAAGCACTGCTCAGTCCGAGCGCGGGATTCCAAGACCCAGCCCGGCACGTTGTGGTGATGGAGTTTGGTGATATGCCGTCCTGTCAGCTTCGCAAGGTCATTGACCTGGTTTTTCGGATGCTGCATTCCACTCTGCTGTTTCTTCGGGGTCGGTAATGTCCGAGCACTGCCCAAAGCATCCCAAACTGCATTTCTAAAGCCCCGGGGCCAGCACAGCTGGCCTCCTGCATCTGCTGCGCTACCCAGAGTGCATGGGGCCAGCGAGCTGCACGGGCCATGCCACCGAGAGCCTGCAAAGTTCAGAATCTCTGGAGTCGGCTTCAGACTACCTAGGATTCGCTCGCACTGCTATGTCACTTCTGCGCGGACAACTGCATCCCTACTCCGACATCTGCAACATGTTTTCAGTGCTTCACGTCCACAGGCTCGAAGCTCGGGCCCGCCCTTATCCACGTTCAGAGTCTTACGGATGTCACCAACATTGACTGATACGATTTACTTACCTGACGAAGACATTTCTGAAGCCCTCCAACGAAGTGCCTATAGCGATGGTTACTGGGGTCACTAGAGCATGCAAGCAGAAGCATTCGATGCTTCCAATGATGCTGCTGAGATTCAGTATGCTGAACAATGAAGTTGTGCTTGCTGTTGTTCCAGTCTGCAGAGCAATGGTCAAAGACACCACACTGCTTACGAAAACGAAACAACATTCAAAAAATGCTTGTTCAGGTTTGTTCAGCTTGCTCTGTTCGTGATCGTGCAAGCCGAAGCCACTCACCCTGACACCCAACCCGTAGCGCCGCATGGTGAACGGCCGCATCGAGCTTGATGCATTCTCTGCGGAGCAGTAGAAGGAGACGGAGTGCCTGACTGCGACTTAGAGCAGAAGGTGCGCCACAAGAGGGCAACAGATAACAAGCCAAGCAGAATCAGTAGCAGTAGTAGTAGCGCAGTAGTAGCAGTAGTAGCAGCAGTAGCAGCAGTAGCAGTAGCAGTAGCAGTAGTAGTAGAAGCAGTAGTAGTAGTGGTAGTAGTAGTAGTAGTAGTAGCAGCAGTAGTAGTAGTAGTAGTAGCAGCAGTAGCAGCAGTAGCAGCAGTAGCAGCAGTAGCAGCAGTAGTAGAAGTAGTAGCAGTAGCAGTAGCAGTAGCAGTAGCAGTCGCAGTAGCACTAGCAGTAGCAGTAGCAGTAGCAGTAGCAGTAGCAGTAGCAGTAGCAGTAGCAGTAGCA